GCTTCTCCCTCTGACCCTCCTCCCTCTCATGCTCTCTGTCTCTCATTCTCTCTCTCTCAAATAAATAAATAAAATCTTTAAAAAAAATAAAAAAATAATAATAAATTGTATTTTTCTTCTTGCCTCCATGTGGGAGGAGGAGGAGAAGTAAATGCTTACCATGAGCTCTAATTTCAAATTGTCCCTAGAGAGTCCTCAATTCACTGGAAAATTCCCGAAACGAGATATTGCAAATTGAATCCTCTCCATTTAAATCACTGATCCCTGTCAATCCACAAAAAAATCTACTTCTTAAACAGTGTGCTTGCAAGGGCAGGTCTGGTGGAGGAAGAGGGTGAGGGGAGGAGGGGTGACCCTGGAGGCGGCTGTTGGAGGAGAATGGTCTAGAAGTCGAAGGCCGGGGCAGGTTGGCTTTGGGGGAAACAAGGTTGGGTTCTCAGCTCTCAGCCCTGAGGGCCATGAGCAGAGGTCACTCCACCCTACTCCCTCAAGGGATTTGATCACAGCTTGCCAAACCAAAGAAAGGCTCTACTGCCCGATGTTACTGGGGAAGGCTGGAATATAAATGGACGGGCCTGAGCCCTGCTGGATACCGCCTTGTCGGCAGCCCCAGGAAATTCATCCTGCTGCTCGGGGTCTCAGTGTCCACATCTGTGAAATGGCCTTCCACTCTGGTGCCTAAGCCCTCTCAGCCCAAGCACTCCCCACCGCTGTCTGGGCTCAGCGGGATCTGGCCCCACCCTCCTATCACCGCACTCTTGTCCTCGCTCACTCTGCTGCAGACACCCTGGCCTTTGCTCTGGGCCTCAAACAAGTTCTTCCCCACCTCCAGACCTGTGCACACGCTCTTCCGGCCTCCTAGAACACCGTTCCCCTCACCTCCACGTACTTCTCAACCTTCAGGTTCTAAAAAAGGTTCATCCTATTCTCCCTCAAAATCGTCTACTCTTGGCCTTCAAAGTACTTGTCACAAGCTGTCATTTTATTTTTTTTTTCAAAGATTTTATTTATTTGAGAGAGAGAGAGAATGAGTGGGGGTGGGAGGGGCAGAGGGAAAGGGAGAAGCAGGCTCCCCTCTGAGCTCGATCCCAGGACCTTGGGATCACGACCTGAGCCAAAGGCAGACACTTACCTGACCGAGCCACCCAGGCGCCCCATCATCCTATATTTAATTCTATGTTTACTTCAGTCCTTCTTTCAGCCAATAATGTTTGAGCACCTGCTATGTTCCAAATAGGCTCTGAGCTCTGGAGAATTTACTGGTGACAACCGACCAGGACCCTGTTTTCCTGGAGTTTATTGTCCTGAGGGAAGGGCAGACAGACAAGTATCCAGGCCATCAGTAAAGAGCCCTCAAGGAAAATGTCAGCTTATGATGAGCCCTAAGCAGAGCAGTGCATGTAACAGGACTATATGATATAAAGCCCTCCCTTAGGCAAGCAGTCAGGGAGGGCTGCCCTGAGGAGGTGTCAGTCATGCTGAGAGCTGAAGGTGGGAAGGAGCCAGCCTTTAGCAAGACCTGTGTCACGTTTAGGTACCAGGTGAGGAGCTGCTTGTGCTTTGCCCATCCCCGGGTCCTCAGCGTAATCAATGCCTGGCATGCAGGTGGTGATCTGTAGATAGGTGTCGAATGAAAGAGTGGGATCTTAAGGTTGTGATGAGACTCTCACAGGTTGAGGTGAGCCTCTGGTCAGAAGTGGGGCACCCCTGAATAGAGGCTCTGTCTGTGGTTAGAAAGGCATTGCGGTGTCCCCGGGTTTACCTGATTTCAAGGTGCTCCGCCACCTCCAACCCCCCCAGCCCCCGCTGCGTGGCCGTTCTGCCCACGAACTAGGCTTTATCCACTCTTTTCCAGCCACAATACTCTGATGGAGAAGGCCGTGAACACCGTGAGCAACTTCCTGACAAAGACCGTGTCCCGCCTGCTAGAGAAGGATATGAGTCCTCCACTTCTCGGGGCCCAGAGCCATGCCTGCGGGGGAGGGGAGGCAGGTGTGCCATTCACAACCGCACTGTACTCTCTGGACGCCTTTTCTTCTGAGGCGCAAACTCTTCATTGGGCTGTCAGCTGGAACCTGTGCCCCTTTACTCAGCCTGGGGAGAGGGAGGGCAGAGCAGGGGCCTGACATTAGCTGAAATCACTGGGTCCCAAACTTGGGCCATTCCCCGTGTCTACCTACCCTGGATATGCCTTTTTAGCTAGTGTGTTCCTCCTTTAAACAATACAATTCTACATAAGCTTCTTTAAATCATGTATTTTAAAGATTTTATTTATTTATTTGACAGAGAGACACAGCGAGAGAGGGAACACAAGCAGGGGGAGAGGGAGAGGGAGAAGCAGGCATCCCGCTGAGCAGGGAGTCTGATGCGGGGCTTGATCCCAGGACCCCGGGATCATGACCTGAGCCGAAGGCAGATGCTTAACGACGGAGCCACCCAGGTGCCCCTAATTACATGTATTTTAAAAAGAAAACTGTATCTCTACCATAATTTAGAAATGAATATCATTTATACAATTAACTTAAAACATAAACACAGACCTATAAAACTGGTATTTTCATCTATGCATCATACAAAACCATTTTTACTCGATCCAGAGAGTCTGAATCAGTCATTCTGGAAGGGGGCTGGGAATCCGGGGTTAGGAAAGAAAAATCCTTCAGGTGACTGGAGCCTCACGACTCAGAATATGGTCCTCTGCCCAGCAGCCCTGGGGCCTCACCTGGGAGCTGGTTAGAAATGCGGCCTCTCAGTCTGCCTGCCCCGCTCCCCGCAGCCCCCCAGACCTGCTGAATCAGAATGTGCATTTTAAAGTGATCCTCAGGGAATTGTACACACACACAGTGAGAAACTCTCTGCTCTACGGTTCCCAGGGCCCCATTTGATTCCTTAAAATTCCGGGGTTCCAAAGTTCAAGGTTTCTAAGAGTGTAAGGTTCTGGGATGTTAACACTCTAGATTCTCAAGTTTCTAGGATTCCAATATTCTAAGGACTTAGAATTCTAGCATCCTATGGCTCTCCAGTTTTGGACTTCTAGGTTTCTGCTGTTCTAGAATCCTAAGGGTCAAAGGTTGTGGGATCTTGGTGGGTGGCTGGCAGTTTGGCCCCAGCTGATAATGATCTGCCCTCCTTCCTGGTCCTGGCCCTCCTCTCCTCTCCCTCCCTCCCTCCCTCCCTCCCTCCTTCCCTCCCTCTCTCTTTCTCACTCTTTCACTCCCCCACAGGTGTGCCCACTGATCCACGCCTTACTTTCCACTCTGGATGTGCATATTGTTCAGGACATTATTGGTAAGTCACAGCCTGGGGACCGGGGGTGCTTTCCCTCTGCAGCCTTCCAAGGGCAGGCATGCACCCTGTGCCCACCCCCACAGCAGGTGTGGTCAGGGGACCCTGGAGAAGCAGGAAGACCCAGCATCTGAGCAAGTTGGGAGAATGTGACAGGACTGAGGGCGTTCTGTGGGCCTCTGTGAGCTCTCTACCATCCTCCCTCTTTAAATCCACAGAACCTGCCTGGCAGAACGATGTGAGAAAGAAGATGGGCCAGATCTGGGTTCAAATCCTGGCTCTGCTATTTAGCAACTGTGGGGCCTTATTCAAGTGGCTCTGCCTGTCTGAGCCTCAGTTTCCTCCTGGGTGAACCAAGACTGTAAACACTGGAGGGTGATGAGTGGATTAAAAGAAGAAGCATAGAGCCTAATATCCAGTAGGCATTACTAGTAAACACCTGCCCTTCTCTTTCCCTCTTTATGAGAAACTGTGGCTTCTCCTCCAGCTGTAGGGGGGGCTTTCTTTGGCCTTTGGGTCTCTAGGCAAGGCTGGGGTTGCTGGGGATGCTGGAGCAATAGAAGTGGGGTAAGTGTCAGGGTCCTGGAGGTGGCCCTTCTATGGAAATAGCCACTGATCAGTTCCTTGGGCAATCACTCTGTGCTTTGCATATGCCATCCCATTGGATCCTCACAACAACTCTGTGGGGTGGGTACCGTCATTATACCCATTTTACAGATGAACAAATTGAGGCTCAAAGAGGTGGACTGACATGCCTGAGGTTCCACGGCTGTCAGACTGACCCACTGGAAAGTGGCGGCCATCAGGGTCTGGTTTCTATTGGAGACTGAGGCCTGCTATTTATTTTTTTATTATTCAGATAAATTTCAAAAGGAAAACTAGCTGCTTAACGATGTCTGAGGAGGGAGATGAGGAGGACTGTGGGTGATGTCCACCTGAAGGTAAGGGGTGGTGTGCACCCCACACAGAGGATGAGTCTCCTCCACAGGCACCTGTGGTGAAGCCAAAGCAAGGCTCAGCTTCTCTTCTTTTTTTAGCAGCAGGCTGAGCCCTAATCTTGGTTGTAGACTGAGCTGTGACCCTGGCCCCAGCCCGAGCCCTGATCCTGGTCACATTCTGCACCCTGAGCCTTTTTCGCACACCCAGACTGAGCCTGGATCCTGATCACAGACTGAGCTTTGACTTCAGTGATTTACTGAGCAATGACATCAGTCACAGACTGAGCCCTGACCTTGATCTCAGACTGATCCATGATCCTGATCCTATACTGAGCCCTGAACCCTGGCTCCAGTCTTGGCGTCTGATCAGTCTTTTCACATCTGCCATTGTTCCTAAGGTGAGGGGAGAGGAGAGTAAGGGGCAGAGGATAAGTCAGGGCCAGGTGCCAGAGACAAACCCCAAACCACAGGTGCCAGCCCCCTCTTCAAGGCCTTAGACCCTGCAGGGGATTGTAGGGAAGAGTTTGGGCAGCAGTGTCTGATGGCTGTGGTCTCGTTCCAGATCGGTGCCCAGTGTCCCTTGTAGCATCTCCATCTGGGAAAGGTGCAGCCACGCCCCAAGCAGAGTGACAGCCCGAGCGCAGCCAGAAGGGGCCCTCCCAGAGACTCCTCCTCGCAGTCGGGACAGCAGCCTCTGTGCTCACCACCCTCCACCCCCTGCAATTAAAGACCACTTGGGCATCCTCTTGTGTGGCCCATTTTATTCCCTCCATTGGGATTGGGGGAGGGCAACTAGGTGGTAGAGACCTGGGTGGGAGCTGGAAGGGACCTCTGGGACGATCCAGCTTGTTTTACAAACTGGAACACTGACACACACAGAGGGCAAGAGACTGACCCAGGGTCACACAGCCAGTTGGTGGCAGTGGCAGGCTCTTAATTCATCCATTCACATGCTCAGCAGGCGTTCAGTGAGGGTCTACTCTGGGCCAGGCGGGCAGTAGGAATGGACAGTCACATTTTGGGCAACCCCACCCAGGGCTTTCCTCCCTTCCCCTCAGGGAGTCCCCAGGGACTCTGAGAGGCCTTATGGAGGATGGGGGCACCGGGTCTGTGGGCTCAGGAGTATAGGGCAGAGTGACATAGGGTCAGGGGCCTAGGCCACTTCCCAGCCTGCCCCTCTGTGCCCTCTGAAGGGCTAGGGTTCCCCTGCAACAGAGATCAGTTCAAGCAGCACCTGAGGACACCCATGGTCTCGCGACACCAGGGCTCACCCACCCAGTCCTGAGAGCCTGTGGGCCCACCGGCCAGGCTGCACGAGGGCCCTGCCTGCCTGGTGAAGCCAAGCACCTTGAGGGTGCTCAACCATCCCATGGAGACCAGCTCCTCTCCGGCCTGCCCAGGCTGTGCCTGGCCGTGGTCCAGATAGCATCACTCTGCTGAGGCCACCACCACCACCAACACGGAGCCCTGCCCTTGCCGGCATGGAGGACCTCACCAATTCCTAACAACGCCAGGAGACACTATTCTTGTCCCCATTTAACAGATGAGGAAACGAAGGCTCACAGAGGCAAAGTGACTCATCAAGGTCACGCAGTGAGCAAGAGGCAGAGCCAGGATTTGAACACATGACTATGAGAGCCTTTGCTCAGAGAGCTGACATCCAGTAGCCGAGGCACCTTGGCTGCCTCCCCGGCCCCCGGCAGGCGCTGCTTTCTTCTGCCCAGGACATGCGAGAGCCTCTCAAGGCTGTTGTTCCTGCCCACATGCAGGCCCCAGTCTCCCCTTTGCCTGCAGGTAGGAGGCTGCCCCCTCTTCCACAAGGGCCTTCCCTCTGAAGAAGGCTGCCTCACGGGGTCAAGTCACCTCAGAGGTCCCTCGAGCCCTTGGGGTGGCCTGGAGGGGCTGCAGACCAGCTCTCCCGAGCAATCCTGTGAAGACCTCAGTTCAGGGTGTGCCGAGGGGCTGCTGGGCACAGGGTGAGAGCCAGGGGCTTAGGCACCTCTGAGCTCCACACGGCCCCTGCTGCTCTCTAGCCCTGAAACCTTGGGCAAGTTACTTAGCCTCTGGAAATCTCAGTTTTCTTACCCGTCAAATGGAATTAGCGGAAAAAACCTTGCTCGCTGAGCTGTTGTGAGGGTGGAAAGTGTCTTAACTGGGGCCTGACAGCTAGTGAGCCCAGATGAGTGTCCCCTCTACATGCTGAAATTGCTGTTATGACCACCCTGTGATTGTTGATTGACTGATGAAAGCCCTTATGTCGTCTAGAGAATCATGGTCCTGGGAGATCTTGGGTTTTTACCCCGTCTTTAGGGCCAGACTGCCAACGGTCCCCCCAGGGATCATTCTTCTCTCTCTCCCCAGGTTTTAGCTGGGCACATGGCCCCTAGCCAGGGACTACATTTCCCAGCCTCCCTTGCAGTAGCCATGTGACTAAGATCTGGCCAATGGCATATCAGCAGAAGTAACGCGGCAAATTCCACTTTGTGCTTTGAAAGAAAGGGGCACTTCACTGGCTCAGTCCACAGAGCCTGAAACTCTTGATTTCAGGGTCATGAGTTCAAGCCCCATGATGGGCATCGCGCTGCCTTAAAAACAGACAAAGGGGGCATTCCCTCCCCTTCCTCCTGACCTTCTCTTCTCTTCCATTAGAAATGGGAATAAGTGGAGTAACTCCCTGAGATCTAGAGGTGGGGCCCTGCATTGAAGACAGCAGAGCTGCTTCAACAGCCCCTGACCACCCATCTCTGGGCCCTGTGGCAGTAAAGCAATGAGCAAGCTTATTTAAACCATTGTGTTTTGGGGTCCCCTCGTCAAGGCTACTTTGTCTCTATTCTACCTAACTCATTCTGCCAGTAACATGCTGTGTGACATTAGGCTGCTAACTTCTCCTCTCTGAGCCCTGTTTCTCTATTTGCACAGTGATCACTAAAGGCCCTTCCTGTTCCAACAGGACAAGAGTTAGTGCTCCCTCCAGACTGGGAGGGGAAAGAAAATAAACATTTGTTGAGCCCCTACTCCATACCAGGCACTGTATTAGCCTGGTGGTTCTCAACCTAAGGTGACTTTGCCCCCCACAGGACATTGGCAATGTCTGAAGATATTTTGTCACAGACTGGGTGAGAGATGCTCCTGGCATCTCATGGGTAGAGGCTAGGGATGCTGCTAACCATCCTACAATACACAGGACAGCCTCTCACAACAAAGAAGCATCCAGGCCAAAATGTCAAGAGTGTTGAGAAACCCTGTATTAAAACTTTACATACATTATCTCATTGAATTGTTTTTTTTCTGAGTGATGCAGTGTATGGTTCTTGGGGGAAGATGTAGCAACTGAGGCTCAGAGGGGTGAAGTGACTTGCCCAAGGCCACACAGCTGGTCAGAGGCAAAGCTGGATTTAATCCAAAGTCATCCTCCTCTAGAGCTGGTGCTTCCCTTCCAGCCAGGGAAGAACGGTGAGTTTTCCTTCCTCACTATTTTGTGACAAACCCACCTCCCACAAAAAATACACAAAGGAGGTCTCAAAATTCAGGGCTTCTTTGGGCAGTAACCAACTTGAGTCCGTGCCAAGCCTTTGTCCATGCTGTTAGGTCTACTAGGGACACGGCTTTCTCCTTCTCCAGCTGGCTAACTCCTGCTCAGCCTTAAAACTTTGCTCAGGAGTCAATCCCCAGCTAAGTGAGGGCTGTTCCTCCTTGTTTCCCAAAAAAGACACTGTGCTTCCCAACATGTAGTTCTAACCAGGCTACCTTGCCATTCCTGTCCAATATGGAGAGAGCATTTAGAAAGTGTCAACTCTGGCTAGTCTGGTTCTCACCTTTTTTATTCATCAGTCTGCCCCTTAAGCCTGCGAGCTCCTTGAGGGCAGGTACCTCCCTCTCCTCAGCAGATCCAGTGCCCAGAGAAGGACCAGATATAGTACAAGTACTAACAAATGTCGAATGAATGAATGAATGAATGAATGAATGAATGAACGAATGAATGAACAAACCTCTTCTTTCTGTACACAATCAGACACCATCTCTGGGGCGCCTGAGTGAGTAAGTATACAGGAAAATTCTAGCAAGCCAGGATTGGGGGTATAGGAGACTTGTCATTATTTTCTGTCAACCAAGGCCAGATCCCTGGCCCTTGAGGACATAAGCGCTATGGACCAAATGTGGGGCTCCTAGGTGAGTGAAGCCAGAACATGGGGTGGGGGAGGTAGGGGGCTAAGGCCCCTCGGCTCCACTGGTGACTAATGTTGCCACTGGAGGGGAAAGATTACAGGGTAGACAAATGAGGCAGCATTCTCCTGCCGGCAGCCTGGCACCCTGGGACCAACTCTGGCTCCTGGCTCCTGGTCTACTCGGTCCAGACCTCAAGGAGGGGTGAGGGCTTCCTGGAGATGGTGATGCCCCATGAAGGAGGCTTCAGGGAGCAGGAGAGAGAACAGCTGTCATCAGGGAATATATGGGAAGAAAGAAGGCAAAACCTGACTGGATCCTGAATCCTCCAGAAACTAGAGTGCAAAACTGTAGTGCAGGCTACAATTTTGAAGGCTTAATCCAGTTAAATAAATGCTGGCTCTTTCCAATGTTTGCACGATTTCTTGAGGATAACATCTCAGGATCAGAATTATTTACTTTATGTGTT